TAATCACTTTTAAATTTCCAGATAAATAACTTCAAAATTACCGTATCTGCTATTTCTACATACACCCATTGTTAAATGTTAAAATGAACACACTGCTGCAACTTAATATCACTGCATAATTTTATACTTCTTACCTTGTACTGCACAAGGCAGATGAAATATACTGACAGTGTGAGGATTTAACAGCTACTGTGTCATTACTACTACAGTGTCATGTATTACATTCTGCTATTTTAACATTATAGAGAAGTACAGTAGACTTACTGGTTTTGCCGAAGAGAAAAGATTTTGTTTGATTTAGACGTTAATGCTCATTAGACAGAGCACTTTTCTTTGCAATGTAATGTTTTCATGTCCATGGGCAGTTTGATATTTATATTTGCAAACTTAAAATCTAGACCAGACTAAACCTGTTCCTACACATGATTATACTCCACCAAAAGGTTTAAGAGGTATAGATTTGTCCACCAAAAACAAACAGTGCACTAGCACTGATCCCGAGCTGTAAACTTGTGTTCCACCTTATGACAACGCTGCACTACAGCTGTGCAATAAAAATACTTCAAAAACCATTTGTGAATAATCCCTCTGAATTTTGATGCAGCAGCTGACATCCCGGCACAAAATGTGTGGGTACCTGTTTGATTTACCAATTCATGACACCACTATTTATAACTGAATGTGTGACAGTGCTGGAATCAGAGGAAAAATAAACTACAGCGTCAGTGTCAAGTCGAGATTGACTAGATCTCTGAAACTATATATAGTGGGAGCACAACTGGACGATGGTGTGACTGGCAGAGCCCATAAAAGCGATCAGGCCAGAGAGGGACAGCATATGCCTGGGATTATGAGCAAACCAGCCCTGCTTTAGGCGAGGGACACACCCTCTTCTGCAGCTGTCTCACATGCTGTATTTGCAATCTACTATCAATGACTTAATCGGTTTGGGCCCTCGCAGCCTCTCTGTCGCTGGCTCTCTGAAACTGGACAAGGGAATCTTCACCTTGACTGGTTTGCAGAGGGTATTTTTGTATGTGTGTGTGTGTGTGTGTGTGTGTGTGTGTGTGTGTGTGTGTGTGTGTGTGTGTGCATTACTGAATGGCATTTATGATTAAACACGGTTCAAACACAGATGCTGATTTGGCAGTTTGATTTCAGTGCTGTGTTATGTGCATGTGTGTTGTGTTGTTTCAGTAACTTGAGAGGGGCGAATCGGCCAGTAATGTCTTCACTGTTGACATTAATGCAAAGAATGCATGAATACCCACTGAGTATCTGTCTGACTTTTCTGTTGTCTGATTTGTTGAATGTGCTTGTTAGCACTGGGGGTTGAAACTGCAGCTAACTATTATTTTTAATGCTGTTAAAATCTGAAAATGATTAATTGTGTTTAGTATGTAAAATGTAAAGAGTACTTAAAAATGACCAACATGAAACATTTTCATGTTGTTTATTTGCAGCCAAAAAGCTTAAAGATCATTTTATAATGATACAAAACAGAGAGAAGCAGCAAAACTTCACATTTTAAAGCTGAAACCAGTGAATGCTTCAGTCTTTCCTTGATAAATGTTATATCTGATGAATGGGTTCATAAAATTGCAGTGAATTAATTTTCTTGGGTTCATGACTTGATGATTTTGGCTCTATTCCTGTTTGCCTGTTTTTGCACTTTTTCTCTACTGCATCCCAACTTAAAAACAATTCTTTAAAAATGCCTGTTTGCTCTCTTTCTTTCTTAATGCTGTAAAGTGAAATGAAAGAGAAATCAGTGACAGAGAATTACCAGCACCTGGATCCAGCACAAAATGATAGGGCATATTATTTGTATGTTTAGTATTTATTCAGGATTCATAACATAGTCAAGCCCAGCTAACATGACATTATAATGACTTATTAACCCTCTAAATGAGCCGTCTGATCTCACGAGTTTATTGGAGGCTGAATGAAACAAACTGAAGCTGATTTATTAGGTGGTAAATGAAGCTGTGTTTTGTCAGTGTGTTTGTGAAAGGCAGCTACCTGAGAAGAGATTAGGGCAGTACCACGATTAAATGCTGCTTTGTTAATGTTGCTGACCAGCCTGCTATAATCTCTGGGCGGCTCTCTGCAGACTGTTAGCAGCGAGGCCCTGACACACACACACACACACACACACACACACACACACACACTACAAAACCCTGGTTTTTGAGCTGAGAACTCTGCTCTTACTGAGTATCTTGCCTTTTTCTGAAAACACCTTAGTACTGCTGCTTGATACAAACAAGACATCAAATAAATGTTCATTTTAGATTGGATGGGAAGTGTCTGTGAAATGCCATCTTCAGATGTTCTATGAGGTTTAAACCTGGACTTTGATTGGGTCATTCAAGCATAGTCAGAGACTTGTCTTGAAGGCACTCCAGTGTTGTCTTGGCTGTACGCCTCAGGTCACTGAACCGTTGCCCTAGTCTCAGGTCACACAGTCGAGCAGGTTTTCCTTAATAACCTCTGTGCATTTTGCTGCATTGAACCTTCCCTCAGTTTTGACCAGCCTTCCTGTCTCTGCTGCTGAGAAGTATTCCCTTCACCCAATGTGGCCACCACTGTGTTGAGGTGGTATCCAGGTGATGAGCAGTTCCCGGTGTTTACCAGTCCTTTAAATGCTGTTTGACCCACTCCAAGCAGGCTGTTGTATGTCTTTGTCTGCTAGGTAGGTCGTCCTTCCCTTGGGTTCTGCACCTTTGCACGAGACTTCTGAAGCTGTTAGAGGGACTGCTGGGCTCTTGGTCCACTCCCTGATCAACAACTCAAAATGGAGTCCTGGGGGTTCCAAACATCATACATTTCCCAATTATTGAGGCCATCCACAGGGGCATGGTGGAACAGTGATTAGTGCTGTCACCCCACAGCAAGAACGTTCTGGGTTCAAGCCCTGGCTCATCTGTTGCTTTTCTGTGTGGAGTTTACATGTTGCTGTGCCTGTGTGGGTTCTCTCTCGGTACTCCGGCTTCCTCCCACAGTCCAAAGACATGCAGCGGAGGTTGTTGGCGAATCATAGGAGTGAGTGTGGTTGTCTGTCTCTAAGTGCCAGTCCTGTGATGCCCTGCCTCTCACCCAAAGACAGCTTGGATTGGCCCCCTGTGATCCTCCTCAAGATAAACGCTATGAATAATGGATGGATGGATGGATGGATGGATGAGGCCATGTAAGTCTTAAAAAAACTGTCCAATCACTTCACTTTGCAACAGGTGGACAGTAATGATTGTAGATTAATGATATAACAAACATGACAATTTTATTTATTTAAAATTAAAAATATGTCACAATAAAGTATGCTAAAGTTCTATATTTGCTTACATCATTTAACAGCATATATAATGTCAGAAATTTGAACTATTAATTAAATTAATACAAAGATTTTTGAAACGATGCTTGAATTTTTTCTTTTTATTTGTGTGGACAACTTTTATTCTATAGTTTGGATTAAATTGTGGCATGTTCTTTAGCTATTTTAATTTTTACATTTATTCATTTGAATAATAATAATTCCATAACAGTAACAGTCTCACATCACCTACTTTATGTTTTAATCCAACACCATCCTGTGTCTTTAATGCCAAATCCATTCAGTGAGCCCTTCCTGGGTCAGTTAGCCCACATTAGTCAGCGTGGGGAGATAATATCATGGCTGACATGGGGGGGTCTGCCTCTCCCTACGTCTGCACAGGTGACCCCTCCTATCTAATGATGCCTTGGGGATCGTGGCTTGAGCCTGTTGTTATGCACCCATTAGTTGTAACAACAGGGAGGGTAAACCTACCATTCAGCTACAGACTGAATTTAAACACATTTACACTAATTACAGTAGATTCTCCTGTGCAGCCTGAAGGGAAATACGTCTGAAGAGGAACCAAGTTAGAAGACAACACCTTCATCATGGTACTTGTTTGGAGTAAAACACTCAGAAATGTATGTTGAGGTGGAAAATCTGTAGCGACATAAATTAGACAATGTGATCATTTCTTTTACTTCAATTAGAGCTGACATCATTATTACAACTGTAGGAAATACTGGAAATATTTACCTTGACATCCAACCTCTACTTCTGCTACATAGGAGAATATTTCACAAACATTCAGCATGAACAAAGCGCATGAATGCATACATCTCTGGAACGTTTCCTCTGAAGTACTAAAAATGGCCTGTGAGGTCAGGGTGATTGACCCTTCAGAGAACAACCTCTTCCTTTTACCATAGGGAATATCTCTATTTATAAAATGCGGCTCTTTTTCAGCTGCATGGAATTATCCTCAAGGTTTGGTCTTATCTCTTAGAGATTTTCACCTGATAAGTTTGAGTCATGTCAGACTGGTGTTAGTAGATAAATACATCATGGCGCTTCACTTTACCCAAATACAGAAAACCTGATGTCATAGCTAAATTATTATGCATAGTTGGAGGATGAATATTACAATGTATCCCATGTTTTGCTGTGAATATACTCAAAACAAAGTGTCACCTTTGTTTAACAGTGGTGTAGTAACGATCCCTCCCATTAATCAGAAGAAACAAAATCTTCCATACAGACAGGATGTCCGGATCATAAACTGCGCTCCCACGCTGTGAAAACAAGGCACCGTGTGTAACGCACACACTGAGATTACCCCGACTGCGTCCAGGCCAGGAAGCCAGGTCGCAGCTCTCTGCTGTACTGCTTCCAGGTGAGCAACTGGTGCTGCTGGGAGCCCATTCAGCGCCATGTGGAAGTAGAAAAGATAATACAGAGTTAACACTGAATGAATGATCATGTGGAAAAATGTCTGGAAAGTGAATTTGCACTCTGACATTTTTTATTATTAAATCACTGAAAAATCTAACCTTGATTTAGAAAATAAAACCTACCCTAAAATAAAGTTACTGTGAGTCTGTATCCCCCGATGTAAAGAGAGGTTTCATGAAATGTTGTAAGGAATTTAAAACAATGCAAATAACAAATACAAGATAGGTTGAGTGTATTTGCAAAAATTTATTTTTTGAAAGTGCAAAAAGTATAAAAACACCTTCAGTATATACATACACTTTAAAATAGTGACTGTACAATATTTATGAGCAAAAAACTAATTATATCCCTGCAAAAGAAGAAGTTAAAACCAGTGTCCATGTTAGTATATTCTATGGCTTTATTAACTGTTCTTATGCAGATACAGTCTTCTTCAAAGCTTCATTTCATGATATCATGGGCCTCCTCTGCAGTAGTGAAATACATATTAAAAATAAAAACATTTTTGTTCAAATTTAGCTACAGAGATTTGAGGTCAGATCATGTGTCCTTGCAGCAGGATAACAGGCCAGACAGGAGGTTAGGAGTTGTTGTAGCTACAGTAATACACAGCTGTGCTGGCGTCTGACAGCACCGATGATATGAGGCTTTCAGGTCCTTGCATGCCAGCCTCATGTGGCCCATATGACAAGCCTATCATGTCTGCACGTGCTGAAGAGGAACTCAAATACTGCTCGAACTCGCTGCGGTCCACCTCGGCCAGTAGCTCGGAGTGGTGCATCTGCTCCATGCTGTCTGCAGAGTGAGGGTGAGAGTCGGGAGGGGGGGAGAGTTGTCCTGCTCCGCCAGGATGCCGTTTGGGGTGACTGGGATTGCAGTGCTGGGTGTAATACATGGCCAGAGGGTTAGGGCATCCCATGTAGGAAGGGGGAAGGGCGGCAGGCTGAGTGGACTGCTCTGGAGCCGAGACAGGGTGTCCGTGCAGTATGGGGTTGCTGTGGTGGTTGGAGAGGGGGTCCTGGGACTGGTACTCTGCTGCCTGGGAGTGGTAATATGCAGACATCATGTGGCAGTCCTCTTGTGAATGCTGAGGGAAGAACATGGAGTCTGACTCTACAGCATCTAGAGGAGAGGTGTCAGGTGTGGGGAGGCTGTAGGTCTCATAAGAGGGGCCCCCAAGAGCCTGAGCATCCCGGTAGTGGCTGAGTGGCTGCGGAGGAACCTGGAAGCTGTGCTCGGGATAACCCAGACCCAGACTCTCCACACACACCCTGCTGTCCCCAGGCATGGAAGGGGCTTGGTGATCAGACACACCTGGGACCAGAAAGCCAGAGTCCAGCCTTTTAATCCTCTTCACCTGCTTCCGCCGCCGGGGACGGTACTTGTAGTTGGGGTGGTCCTGCATGTGCTGAACCCGCAGCCGCTCGGCCTCCTCAACAAAGGGCTGCTTTTCTGTGACAGGAAGGGCTTTCCATGATTTCCCTGCAGGTCAAGAGGAGAGTGCACATCAGTGATATGTCAGCAGATACTGTAAGCAGTCTGGTGATGCACACAAAAATAGCTTGTTGCCATTTTTGGGGACAGGGACGGATTCTTGAGGTTACATCTGATGCTTAACCCAGATGCAGTAACTTTTAATAACATCACCTGCTGCCTGAACAACCACTGCATCCATTAGTGAATAATTAACTGTTGTTTGCGTAGAGTAAGAATAAAATCAACTAGACATGAATTAAAACTAAATACAGAAGCACCTCAAATTCAGAAACTGTGTGGAATAGAAGAATGTGGTTGAATAATATCCTGTATAGATCTGGTACACAGGCAAGCAACAAGAGGTCGATGAATTAAATACAAAATTACGTACCCAGCATTTTGCTGAGCTCCGCGTTGTGCAAGTCCGGGTTTTGTTGCGCCAGCCTCTTGCGCTCATCTTTCGCCCACACCATAAACGCGTTCATGGGCCGTCGGATCCGTGGTTCGCTCTTCCCACGATTCTGGCTGACGGAGCCGGACGCGCACGGCTCAGTTTTCACTTTCGTGTCCCCAGGAGGACTGAGAGTGTCGGCCCACTGGCAGTGTCCCATTCCAGGCATCATGACTGACATCGTACACCTTGCCTGGGTCTGATCGTCGCTGGCATAACCCGCATCGGGACTGCTCATCTCTGTCCAGCTGGGAGGTCTGGAGAGCCACGGGACAGCTCACAAAGGCGACGAACTACTCCCGATAACAGTCTATACACAGATGAAAAGGACTTATTGAAGTACGTTCAAATGTTTTTGGTTTTCACAAAGCCATTGTTCGCGTCCATTAGACACTTCAAGAAGCAGCATAACGGTGCCGACTATTCAGTGGTAAATGATGAATGTTGTGCGCTATAAACGCTCACACAGCCAATCACCTTGAGGTGGGAGTGCCCACTACTACAAAGGTGTAAAAAAGTTGGAGCAGCCCGCCTCCGACCCTTGTGTGGAGAGCTGAGACCAGATGCTAAACTCTAAAAGAAGAATCTCATGTTCATATTAAAATATATTTTGCAGCGACTTTTAATAGTAACATATAAGCACAGGCTTTAGTGCAATGCGTGTACAATTTGACCTGCTTTTGGAGCGAAAACCTTTTAAGGTTTTTTTTTATTTAAATCTCAGCCCTGTGATAGACCGCCAAGGATGCTCAGATACCAATACACTTGATCATCAGTAGCCTATGTGTATTGGGTCGTTAACTATGTTAAGTACTTGAATATCAGGTTTATGCATGGAGTTAAAGACTTCATTCGTAACGTTTACGCACGGTCGTCAGGTTGATGGACACTTTCACTGACTGGTTAACGAGAAGCGCTGGACAAAGGGCGTTAATTGAGGATTTGAATATTCTAAAAAAAGGAAATCAACAAAAGTGCAGATAGCTTAAATAGACACCCATCTCATTGTTTCAAAGGGATGAAATCTCCGACAGGAAAACTGTAAAACGTTGTGATACCCGTGCACTTTCAAATGTCTAAACAGTTTCTCCTAACGTGGACGTCTGTCTCTGGGATGTTAAAGAATAGATACGAAAATCCTACAGACATCCTATATTTATTCTGGTGATATAAGAGGACCACAGTATATTAGATATCTAAAAATTAAACAAGATGTTTATAGCAATTAGAATTATTTACACTCAGGGTTTGACTCCTGGTTACCTGTCAACAGCACACAAAATGTATTTTTAGCCAAAAATATTTTAGCTATTTTGTCTCAGTCAAGTTATTTATATCTCATTAATTGGTCATTGGGTCACTATGTATTTCATAAGTTGACTAGGTTTAAAAGGTTTACAAGGCTAAATCACTGTACAAAGATGATATTTTGCCCCAAAATATTCATCCCTGAGACTTGACAACATGCAGTTTCAACAGCATTCATATTCCACTGAATATGTGTTGACAACATCATCCAGTGGTCAAATATAAATTCTGTTAACTCTTATGACAAGCAGGTGGGTGCTACAGAAATATGTGTCAACATGTTTCCTTGTTTTTGGAACAGCTGTCCTGGACCATGAGGGCGATATGGGGTAAAAGGTTAAAACAACCTGTTGCACCTCAAATACACAGACTGTGTTTGTGTAGCTGAGAATGAAGCCACTGTTTGTGTCCAGAAGTCCAGACATCACCCACAGGCTGCAGGGGTTCTTATCAGAGCCAGCAGACCTAAACTTGTCAGCTCCATCTCTTCTCAGATCGTTCCCATCTCGCTGTAGTCGACGGTCCCTCTGACCTGTCAAAAGGGGGCTGACAGAAATATGACAGATGCTTATGCAACCTTTTCATGCCCTGTGCAGGCTCCACCGGGGACTCCAGAGCACGCTGGGTGACCCTCCAGGGGTTGGTGGGAGAGTGTTTTGGATGGAGGTGCAGCCAAACACTGTATGGGACAGGATCTGAACCATAATACTGTCATCATCTATTTTAACACTGATGACCTGATAGGGTTTTCCCCCTCCAATCCTAGGAGAGTGGAGAAAGAGAGGCTTTCTGTGTGTGTGTGTGTGTGTGTGTGTGTGTATGTGAATGCGTGTGTTGACATGGGCGTGGGTACGAGTGTGCCCTGGCTGCCTCTCGCTCTCGCTCTGTTGGGAGTGAAAACTCCTGGCTTTTGATGGTAGAAGTCATAAAGTCTGGAGTTGTAGCCACATTTCCTTTACAAGGTGAGGTTCAGAGTCGACCCAGGGGAGGAGAGGGGAGGTAGCGGCGGGGGGCCAAAGGGAGGTGACGCGCCTCGCACTCCGCTTGTCCTCCCTCCATCCCTTCCCTTGTCCCTCCAACAAGTCCCACACCCCGTGCCTGGGGAGTCTGGGGCTGGGTGGGGGCCAGGGCTCTCGACGCCAGCCTCTGGACTCTGTGCTCAGGGAGAGGTCACTTGGCTTGCTTACACAATGGCATTATCTCAGTTCCAGCCTCGGCTACTGCAGTGGTGAGCACTTCCTGTCCCTCTGCAAACACTTCCTGTCCTTGGCGTAGCAGCACAAACTGTCCACCTTCCAAGTGAATTCTGAAACGCTGCTGAGCTGCTGGTCGCCAGTCTTGCTATAGCCTATAAATGTCTGTGGGTGGCATTCTTAGGAACTGCACCATGTATTTGCTTGATTCTTTGTGCTGAGCTGTGAGGCAGTGGTGTTAGTTTAAATCACAGGGTACAAAGGAATATATGGGTTTGCACTCTGTGCTAATTCTCTGAGCCACTTGAGCTGCACAGGTCTGAACTGGACAAAGCAACAGACAGGCAAAGACCTCTGAGTTTAAACAATAATGCTAATTAGTTGCAAATGTTTCCTTCCAATCAAACATTGGACGTTTAATGTTAATGCATTAGTCAACCAACAGATAAATAATTGTCAGTGATTTTGATAATGGATTGATTCATTGAGTGATTTTAATTTTGACTTCTAAGAAAAAAGAGCAAGCTGTATAATAATACAGTTTATATACACATAAATTCACAGCATATATTCACAAGCACATATAGCAGTGTAATTTAAAGCTGAAGACATATATAGTATTAACTAGCTGGTTAAAACTATCCTTAACACACAAAATGTTTTTTTCTTATTTAAAATTATACCAGCTTCACAGTTTGGACAGCAATTCAGCTACACAGTTAATTAATTAAGCCATTTATTAAGCAGAAAATTTCACTGTGGATTTTTGGCTTTTATTTTTGGGGTTTTTGCTCATGAGAAACCTGAAGACTTCATCTTGGCCTGTAGCAACCTGTGCTAGCACAGCGGCTAAATTTCTAAAGATTTGCCCCTGAATCTTATGTCTAAACTACATTACATATAATATAAAGTGTGTATTTTCAGTAAACGAATCCTGACATTAATTGTTTTGCTATTTTTTAGTCACTTGGGAACAGTTGGAACATCAACATAACATCAGGATTAGCTGATATAGCGAACTTGCCTACTGACACATCCATCAGATACAGACAAATGTTATCATTCATTTGGAGTCATGTTTTTGATGAATCTAAGTCCATTTTAGTATTGATTTGGTCTCCACAATCCTGAGTGAAATGCCTAGCTTGTAGCTGCTAAAAGATGCACCTTGTTTGGTAGATACTAGTGGGATAATTGTTGTCTCTTGTTTAGTTTGAGACAGGTAGAGTACAATGGGTTTATCAGAGCTTCTCACTGAAAACTGCTGCCTGCTGAGGTAAAAAAAAAAAAAAACAGCTCAAAAACACAATCAGTAAACTTAAAGATGCTAAAAAAAACCCCTCAGTAGCTCTATGGGAAAATGCAGATTTGGATGACACATTTTTTTTGGTTCAACACTACAATGTTACTTTTCATTTGATCCATTATGATTATAAAAATGGAAAATACATTAGAAGCCACACAGTCTCAAACCCAGCTGGCAGTGTATAGGCATCTGTGCTATCAGCAGTGAGATAAAGATTGTTTAGATTGTCTGATTAGACTATGACTTCTTCCAACACCTGCTCTAGAGAGTGAGAGGTGATTCAAGAGGGGGGAGGGGGCTCCTGAAGAGGAAAGAGGTAGTTAAGAGAGCACACGACAGGTGTGGAGGAGAGACACGTGTTATCTGACATTAATTCTGCAAATAAAAATCACCTTTTCTGAAAGCTGGAACATTTGAATTTTCCATACAAACAACGTTGCTCGGGAATTTAAAATAAGTTTCTATTCTGCCATCAACTGTCAGTTAAACCCTGCAGAAGCCTATGACCATGAAGCATGTTCATTGAGTTATTTAAAGATCATCTGTTGGTGTTTTACCTTCGGTAACCTGAAAGTCACCCCATGTTGGAGACTGCAGATATGAGAGATCAACCACAGGTTAACGTGGTTAAATTATATTCACGTAAAGGATGTGAGAACCCCTGGTCGGTCATGTTTTTTCCTGCGTCACTGCACTAGGTTCAGTGGTCACAGAAATTGGGGACTTGAAATTCTGGCAAATGACATTTTCTAAATCTTACTTACTCATGTACATACAGACATTTTTATGTATTGTTGGTGGTATAGTGGTCTCTCCCTCAGGGGATTGCTGGGAAAGCTTCCCTGCCCAAGAGCACACGCATCACAACCCCACAGAAGGGGCAACACTGAGATGTTGTCTGCCCCAGACAAGTGGGGACACAGAGGAAGCCATCTCCTCTCTTGTCTCATTGTTCTGCAGGCGTTAATCTGTCAGAGATCTGCTGGGAATCAGGTGGCCTGGTTATGTTTATTGGCCGGCCTATCCCACATTTCTATAAGAGGACATTTTGATATCTTTGCCCTGTACCTCTCTGCTGCCCTCAGCTCACGAAGATGCACTGATGATAATACTTTTTCCCGTTTGTCTCTGTTGTTTGTAAATGAGTACATCCATTTTATCATATTGTCTGTTTTACCAGACTGAAGCCTCAGTCCATGACAAATCTTAAATATGCCTCATGCTAACATGAGGATGTTTGGAAACGTCACTACAAGTTATGGTGACCTCATGGTTTGCACGCTGCCAGGGGTCAGCCAACAATAAAACGGAAGCAACAAGTAAAATAATCAAAGTCTCTTTCCTGAGAACATCCATAGTGCTGTAGTTTCACTCAGACAACCTAGAGGATACGGCAACACAAAATCATATTGTCAGGGATAGTGAATTAGGCTTTGAATCAGTGGTTTCAAATGTGTCAAGAGGTGAGTCCATGTCAGAAACTTCTACAGTTCCTTTTAGCTTTGTGAATTAAGAAAATGAAAATGTTAGCTAAACACATTTTCCTTATTTGATAATGATTTAAAAATCTATCATTGTTTCTATCAGCTAAAATTGTA